AAGTGACGGCAAGAGTACCTGACATACAACAAGAACCATCATAAGATGTCCTAGGTTTTGACTGGAGACATTTCGACAGACGCTTATGCGAAGGATCGTCAAGAATTTTGTCATTCTGTTTTATGTCAATAGTTTTTCGCATACGATGAGGTCTGACATGAATAACAGAGGAAGAATCATGATCAGTTGGATTGAATGTATTCAGACTGAATTCCTTTTTATTCTCTAGCATTAAACTTCCTCCCTTAGCCGATTCTAAAGGAAAAGTATATTGATTCATTTCCGACGGCTGTGATGATAAAAGATCGTATTCGATTCCACAGTCACGAGGTTTTACACTTCCAAATAAGTACTGTCTTTGAATATCATGAGCTCTCTCGGTTTTTTTCAAGTACGTAAACGGCTTGAAGTCGTTTCTCGCCTTCGGTGATTTATTCGTGAAATAAGGGTATCTACTGGTACTAACATGTCTTTCCGGAGATTTGCGCAAATCGCGAAGTGACCTGTTACAGGTTCCACTGCTCAGATTTAAAATGGAGGGACTTAAATAAGTTTTTGAAGTTTGGTTAGATATTCTTGATCTTCCAGACAATGGGTAACCTCCGTAATTTTGAGAACAGTTGAAAGAATTTCCTCTTTGTGGATGATTACAAGAAAAAGATAAGTCAGAGTTGAGGAAACTACGTGGATTACATAATAAAGATGAGTCGTCATATACTTGTGTATTGCGTCGATTGACTGAAGATACATTCGTACGACTCAAGTTCCTGTTGTTCCGCTGATGAGGGGAATAGGAAATATAACTAACTCTATCCGTGTAATATTGATCACGACATTTAGAGATGGCTGGATATTTGTTCCTCTGACAATTAGAATTGAAATACAGTTCATTTTCGTTTGAAATGTTTTTTGTGTATCTTGGAGAAACAATTATAGACTCCACAGTATGCATAACGACACTTAAAAATTCAGAAAACAATAATCATTTCAAAGTGTATTCAAACTAAGCAAAGTTGTCAAGGTTGTAAGCTGTAATCACACTTGGAAAGTAAAAACAAATCTAACGCCGAAGCTATTTTGAAAATTCGTCAGTTGGATATTTTTTCGTCATCAGTGAAGGTTGGCATGCAACAGTCTCAAAAAAATTATCTTTTATTTGATTTATTTGACCTGTAAGTGAGCGGATTAGTGTCCATTTACTAGGAGAGACATATAGTGTTTAATCTGCCCTAGCTATTTTTAAGACCATATTCCGATGGTCATGACCAAGAACTCTCAGTATTAGTACATCAAGATTCATGGAACAATGTTAAGTCTCGTGAAGACTCCGTGACCAGGATAATCCTAGATGATAGTTCAGAATAAACAAAAATGACAGTTTGGTTTTTATGAGTTTCCGATGTAAAGATACAGTTCAGTTTTCAGTTCATGGATATAATTAGATACGCTTTTAAGAAACACGTTCAAAAATGTCTTTCCACATTGGTTATCAAACACTGTATAACTGACAAGAATATTTCAAGTTTATTTAGTGTATATAAACGCCGTTGACAATGCTTGGTGGACGATATTTTCAAGATTCAGCATCAGTCACTCAAATTATCATGCAGAGTACAGAATAGGCAACAATTTGAAACTCATCGTCAAAACCCATAAAAGGTAGTGGAAGCTATCGAGAAGAGTCTGTTAATCAGAAATCATAAACGATATAACTGTGTCAAGTGTTTTCTTCATCATAGCGACACTGAAGACATGTAATTCATCACATCTCCAAAAAGGAGGTACGAGAGAACAACGTTAATTTCTAGCATCCACATGACTAAAATCAAAGTATTTTAGGAAAATGGACTGAAATAATTATTTACAATAAAAATAATATCTCGGGATAGTCAGAAGAAAGCTTTTGAAGTGTTGGCCACACAAAAAAAGAACTGACGAAACAATTCCAGAATATTATGTGGGTTGTATAACCGTGAACAGTAGCTTAGAAGCATATAGGCGCATATTCTTGCACTGCAAATCATATTAGTATGCTCACCGCGGTTAAATAAATGAAATAAACTGTTGTCGTAGAGAAGCTATGGGCGTAATAATCAAACTTAATCGTAAGTTTAATACAAAGGGTATCAACAAAGCGTGTGCCCCATAAATTTTGATTCCTAATGAAGAAATTCAGAGTTCTGTTTTTATCAATACTTGGAATTAAGGGGAAAGTTTGTAGTAAATCATTCAACCAATTTATTATTTGTGTGCTCGCAATAGTTAAGACATCTTATCCACTATGTACAACTGTTTGCACATCAATCTTTATTTATTCTCTTATTTGTCGTTAACACAAACAGTTAATATTATATCTACATCGATTAACACTCATAAATATATGCGGATTTTATCACTCAAAAAACACACCTTTCCATTACTTTTCTAGTGTGTTTTCTGCCTCTTCGCTGGCAGATTTTCACTAATCGTTATTATTATTCGTAAACATCGTATGGGTACATAAGTGTTGTTAAGAAACCATTTCGGGTTACTTCGACAATGCATTATTACATAAGTTTAAATAACGTTGGCGTTATATTTACCATATTTGTAAACGAGAAAGAGGATAATGATGATAATGGAATAATAATAATAATAAATCAGGTTCTGTGTAATCGGGAAGAATATTGGATTGACTTCAACGAAGGAAAGGGGGGAAATAAGGCAGTAGAAATAAAGGAAATGTGAAATACGCAAATAATTTATTAAGCATGTTTATGAGCACGGAACAAGAATAAGTGGTTATGTATTTATCGCCAAATTAGCAACTAAAATTATCTGAATACATTTGCGTGCTGGAAAACCAGCGAATTTGCGGACTAATAGTACTACTACCTTTGGTGGTATAATAATGATTTATAAGATCTCGCATGGTGGTCACATCATCCTCTACAATGACCCGTCCTATCACAGGAGTCAGCAATATAACGTCTAGCGTTTCTGAGGAATATATTTGGGCTGGATGGAGAGTAATATTTTCAATACAAAATGCAATAGTTTTTACATAGAGTAACCATGAATTCATGGTCGAGCCATGCCACTTCAATTAATCTATTGATTTTTACCGCGTTCACCATTACCAAACTCTTTAAAGTGGTTCGTGTTAAGTGCCAATAATTATGTTCAGACTAGAGAATCATGTTGTTAGGAACCAACGTCACAAATAAATCGGCGGTTTGACAACTCTTTAGACCATTTTTTCAATGATCTAGATTTCGGCTACGGAGCCCTATTAAAATCGTACAACGGCTTAAATGAAAGTAACCCTGCACAATTCGTCATGTTTAAAGCACCGTTAGTGGCCACTTATTACAGTTGATGAGAAACAATTCCAAAATATATCTCGAAGACACAGTAGTTTCGTCAGACTACTTTCGGTCATTCGTCAACGTATAATGCGTTAGTGTATGAAATTCTCTAATTTCGAAAGTCAGCTGTAATACCAGTGACCCTGGCCTTTACCTTCAATCAAGTAAATATATCAAAACTGAACAGATTTGGGATGTTGACTATAAGACAATAAGCCACTAAAACATTAGGAATAGACACTGATCACCAGCAAACTACAAATCGTGTTTCAAACCACTCAGAAACAGTCATATTGAATGAAAAATAGAAAAGACTCACTGATCAAACAGCTCAAAAAAGAGAAGTTGGAAGTACAATTAACAAGCTTTGTTAGCTCACAGTAAATAAGGTCTCTGTCCGCTAGGAGTAGGTCTGGTTAATTAAGTCAACCAATATTATACGAGAGTACAACAACTCAAAATGGTACCCTACAGAATTGAGAGTATGAAGTCCAACAAAGCTAAAGTAGTAGTAACAACTTTTACGATATAAAGGAGCACATCACGTTTTGGAAGCTGCCCATCAGTAATTTGATTTTAAACGAACGTATGGCTAAGAAGAAATATAGCTGCATACAGATAGCGATAGAAGTAACATCGTAAATAAAAAGGCGAAACGAAAAAATTTCTATTTAACGAAAGCAAGCACGATAGTTTTCTCATATAGAACCCGAAAATACATAATGGAATTTTTAAAACCCACCAAATGAAGATGAACGTTATCTAGACATAAGAAATGAAAATAGATTTGAGGGTATTTTTCATGTCTATTTGAACTCAGACTGCGTGAACGAAATCGGAGTCCTCATGGCTTTTCTTGATTTATGAATATTGACATGTAATCCGAGTATATTAGGTCGTGAGCAGTTGTGGTAAGATGATGGGTTGGTATTATGTCGTCAGTGGATACAACGAAAGTCTGCTCATCCACTGCTAATCTTAAGCTGATAATTCGGGAAGACGTTCCGCAGCGAGATTCAACGTTATGTAATTGTATGTCATTGTATTCACTTCATCACTGAACGACTGAGTCAATAAATTAGTGAGTATGAAAGAAAATGCTCTAGGTGCGATTGAGTTGGACGTCGGTTTTGTCGGATAATCTTATACCTTTAAAAAACACGGAAGTAATCGGTAAGAATTGAAAGGAAAAAATAAAATTCGATACAGACAGAGATGCATGTTCAACCTTAACGACCGTGTGATTGGGAACCAATTTCACTATAAAATTACGTTACAACAAGTTTGGAGAGACATCAAAGTCTCATACCACGTGAGTGCATATGGATATAATGATTGACCGAATTCACAAAAGTTGGTACAACCGACATGATTTAAATTGTTATTGAATGTCCGTTATAACGCTTAATTATCATCACACGACTACTGAGAAGCTAACGGAAGTCCTCAAGTAGATCAAGTCTTTCTTATAATTCCCTTAGATTTTTAATGGTAAAGTGATAACTGAAAATAAAATAAAAGATAACCACGGGTTGTGCATACTTTACGGATCTTGTTTTTTATAAGTCCTGGTTTTTTTACCTGCTTCCAAACTTGCCTATTATTTATTGAAATTTAACTTGTTTTACTGAGTAAACTAATCAGCGCATATCCCAAAACTACACTCTGTTAACGAGTTAGTATGTCTTCGCTAGAGTCGAGTAATGTTCAGCACCATAATTGCACAAGTCCACCAGAGTTTTCAAAATCACCAGAAAGTGAGTTTTTTTTGGCTTTACTCTTGTTTTGCATGTGATACAGCTCCCACTGTATATGGAGTGTGGAATGGCAAATCGTTTAACTGATTCATCACTAATTCGGCATTCCTTATGCTCAATGTTTTTTACCAAAAAGTTTTGTTATTGCACATTATTTAAACCATGAATGTTTTTCCCACATAATTTAAGCAATCACACCGACAGATGTAACCCATATTGCATGGAACGTGCAATGTCTTTGAATACTGTCTAAGTTGAATGCTAAAAACTCAGGTTTTCTTAAAAATTAATCGCTATGAGAACTATCGAACGTTCGCTTAATAACTTTACAGTTTTCATCAGTTATCACTGTCCAGACTCCCAGATTTGAAAATAAGTCATTAACTGTCCGCTGTTGATAAAATATATTTTCTCGTTAGTTCGATTTTATATTTTGAGCTGATACTGCATTTGGCCAGGTTATTTAGTAATCATGTTACTTAGTTTGCGGTGGTCGGTAATCTAACGTTCAAAATACTAAATAAACTCTAGAGTTTAGTGGTTGCTTTATGTACGACTTTAACAGTCTAAAGATGTACATTTTCAAATTTACAAATATCCAAGTTTAACCATACACAATTGTGTCAAACGTACGCTTAATTAGGTGTTTTTATGTTTTTATAGTAGTTTTGCTTCTTCGTGATGTTTTAGTTCTGTAAAGTACTTCATAAATGTCCCCGAAATTTCAATTCGTTCCTCATAATATCTAGAACATTAAATTTTAACACAATATATTGCTACTAACTTGGTTAAAATTAGTGGTTTTTCAAAAAAATTTGACTTCCGAACATTATTGAGGTTCTTTTATTATTGGTAACTGTTTTATTCAAACGGTAGAATTTTGTTCGATTAAATTGTTATTTTTTCATGTATTTTCTCTACACATGTTTTAGTCGGTAAAAGCATAAGTGGTCATCCATGCAGCATCACACCCTACTTCTGCACGTATAGCATCTGCAAATAACAATGTAAATTTCAATTCTAGATAATAACAATTCCACACGTTCGTATGCTAGCTTAAAATAAACTCAGTATTGATTAAATAGATATTTACTATGTATACCCTGCCGTACCTGCGTAAGAATGTTATCGCTACAGAGCTAAACACTTTATTTTGTATTGTCGTTCTCAGTAAGTGATAGAACCTCTATCCTGTGAAAGTTATATCAGAATCGTATATACTTTGTGATATTGACCTCTTTTGATGAGAACATTCGGTGGGCAATATCGTGTTAAGTTTACCAGGAAAAACTAAAGAGAAAAAATATCTTTAAGGGACTATGCAACTAGAAACGATATACTTTTAAGCAAAATTTGAACGATATACTACAAATTAGTCGGTGATACATAATTTTAGGATCTTTTATTTATTAATCTCAGTAATATATTTTCTGATTTCGACTATTTCTCTTTTCGTTTCTTTTAACATTTGACATTCTCAACAGTTCCTACTGTTAGTTTATGTAATCGCATTCTTAAGCTACGTATCACATCAAACATTCGTTTGGCGAACAATAAGTTGCAACTGTCAACAAACTGTATTTGATTTTTGATTGCATTATGTGATCCTACGTTGCAGCTAACTGATTACATGATGACACTGTCAAATTGTTTACTTTCCAGATGATATTTCTGGCTTTGTATTTCTTACCAAGTTTTCTAAATACAATATGTCAATTAATTAATAATTTGGTTGGCTTTTGATGCATATAAATAGCCCTATTCCTGACTCACTCTACCAAACTGTGATTTCTTGGTCGAAAGAAGTCACGTTTCACTTTCCGTAAACAGCTAGTAGTAGGTTGTACAATACATAAAGTATCTCAATAAACTTGCACTTTAAAATGGCGTTCATCTAACTTTGTTTTATATGAAATTCCATGCAGGTTCATTGGATTCGAGAAATAAATTGTTTGCTGATAGTAAACTAATGTGTTCTTCAAATTTAAATGAGACCTATTGGATGCAACTGGACAAGTCGTTAATTACCCGACAAGATATAAAGTCGGTTGTTCCTGATATGGTACGTTGATATTTATTGACTCATTAGTCAAAATGAAATAACTGTTGCTGCTAATGATGCGTCCTGTTTCTATCCTTAGTATTTTGTTCTAATATATTACCATGTGGCTAACGTCATTATTTGATTTTAGTTCCTACCTATCACCATGATTCAAAAACTTTCTCATGATCTTAGTTTTGTGCTAGTTAGATTAAGTATATGTATCTGTTTACCACTATGCACTCTTACCTAAAATTTTGTAATTTATACTTAGGCTTCATAAGTGGTTTAGGCATCCTGGAAAAAATTTCGATTTTTGCATTAAAAAACTTCTGACTATAATTTTGCCTATATGAATCAGTAACTATAGTTTCTTTAAAAATAAATTATCTGTGAACTATTTTTTCATTTACCTATCAAACTTTTTTGATTCCAGAAGTCCCGAAAAGATATGCTTTCACTAAATTACCGACCTGCTTCGCAAACATTTAAAACATACTCAACCCGATGTTCTCGTAAAAGTTTGAAAACCCATTGCAATAAAAAACATTCCACATACAGACAAAGTGAAGATACTAAGGATTCTAGTAGTGGTCTGTCATCAACCATTGGTATTTTGAATAACAAATCTGGTCACGTAACCCAGTTAGCCAATCGTGTCGAGCACCTTTTAATTCAGGTTCGTTGTATTCCAACTTTTATATTTATTTGATGAAGTATGTAAAGAAATTCAATGGATTTTAATGATAAAAACGTGACGATAGTATTCATTGTTATTATTTTCAAGTTGATGTTTCTTTGTCAATAAAATGTTTTCTTTTAACGTTGACAACTAGAATCTTATGTGTTTTATTTTATTCTTTATTCATCCATTAGGATTCTACTAACATCTTGTCTCAGAACAAGGAAATACAATTAGTCTATCATATTGAAAAACAGGACTCCTTGGAAAATCATTCATTTTCTAGCACTAAAAAGAATCCAAATAGTCTCATCCCAACTCCAGTTACAACCACATTATCATCGCCCTGGTATCGTCATTGTAGACCAAAAGCCCCTCCTCCAATTTTTCCTTTTTCCACAGAAAATTCTGTGAAATGCTGTGAAAGTGAAAGCCGCGATTTTGAGCTTTGTGAAGGGAGTAACAAGAGTGGAAATGGCCATCTAGAATTTGAATGCGAAAACTCGCTTAAACCAGTCCCATGTCTCCTTTCTTCAGTGTGTTCTTATTCAGTACGCTGTCCAAGTATACAAGTTCTAGAGGCAGATCTTAGTCAAGAAAACATAAACTGGGATTTAGATTACCCACTGCCATCTTCCCTACCTCCTTTCAGTGATGTCGCACCAACACTAATGAGTCATCCATATTCCCCCTCACCTCCTCTCAATAACAATACTGATGAAGAATCCAATACGCTTTCCGGAGCGGTAGCATATTTAGAAGAAGTTAATTTAAAACCTTTGGCTCCCATAACAAATATCCTGCCAAATGGTGGTTCTTTTATTCGTAAGTCCATTGACCTTATACAACGGATACTATTTATAGCCCCGTACATAAAAGCAGCCCACAGTTAATTACTATTATCTTCTATAATCAAGGTTTGAGCGAGATTATCTCAAATTAAATGGATTTTTCTCTGAGTTTACATGAGGTCAACAAGTTTAGGTCACAAATTATGGTGTAATCTCATTATTTTGTCCTTTACATTAATTAAACTCCAGTAAACTGAGTTTGTTAGGGTTAAGGTAACATTCAAATTGTAAGTCACCAATTCGCATTAAGATCTATGCTGTTTTGACAAGACTAACATATTTTTCCCTCATCCTTCTAGTTGACCTCAACTGGATTTTGTTTTTGTTTCGTTTGCGAATGTAGTAATGCATTTATTTGTTTGTCTAAATAGAAAACTCGATTCGTTGTTAGTTACATTACGAAATTAAGATCAGTATCCTGGTGATACGTTGAGTACATGGTATGCTTAGACAATCTCATACTGTAAGAATTCATCTCAATATTATGGATCAAATGTTTTGGTACTCTACATCTATTAGCACTCGCGTATGGTGTTTGGTGCCCCGACCAATAGAATCAATCACTGGTGAAAACAAAGCCAGAATACTTGTCGTATCGATAGATTAAATTAGCTAGTAAATGTAAATGAGTATTTACTCCTTTGTGTGTACTTCACTGTTATCAAAACTATTCACTTAATAATGATATTTACTCATTAAAATGCCTCAATTAAATCATGATAAAGTGGAAGTACGCAAAGTTGCAATCACTTGTTCAGATTCAGTCAAAATGGTGACAGTTAAGATTAGTCTATTTTTAAACGACAATTATTTGAGCTGTGTGAGAAAACTTCGAACAATTAATGTCTGTTAATTATATTAGCGAGACTCAACGATTGGAAGTTCACATAAATTAATGATTGTTTAATTGTTTTCATATACTGTCTTGTTATATTTTAGAAGTGATCGTCAAACACAGACATTGTATTTGGCATCCATACAATTTAACCTTTGTTCAATTTAGGGCAGCAATCCGATGACCTGTATATTATTCACTTCAGACCAGTCTAAACATTTTAGGTGACTAATACTCCTTACCTCGTATTGTATATTCCTTCCACCCCCTATTAATATTCATCCCCTTAACGTCGCAAACATTCATTTTAGCTTGTGGATGTCACACTTCCACCCCCCTTTTGTGAATTGCTAACATCTGTCACCCTCATCCCTGGTCTTCGGTCTCTTTTAGTCCAAATATATAGCTGACAGATTGGCTCGCGTGCCAAAAATAGGTCATGTTTTTTTGCATAGCATACAAGTTCAAATGTCTTTGTCATCCTGTAGGGGCACTAAAACTCACACTCTGTTCTCATGTTGAAACTTGTCAATTTTTGTACGGTGAAAATTTTGTTTGAAATAAGATTTAAGTATCTATCACATCAGAAGCAAATTGAAGACGGGTGCATTTATGAGTAAAATGCAGTAAAATGTAGTGTATGAGGACGATTCACTTGAATCATGTGCATAACTATTCTTAATAAACTAATTCACTGCTATAATCATCAGTGCCTTCGACGCAAATCATGTAATGATTTTGAAGTTACGTCGTAAATAGTGTGGCGTTTGCCTATTTACAGTGTATTCACTTAAACCACACAAGTAAACGTTACTGATTGTATTCTTGAAATTAATCAGTCCTTCTCTGTTGATTTTTTAAAATTTCTGTCTATGTTTTTGTATTTATCAGGTCGTCATCCTAAATGGGCAGTTACTTGTAGTTCAGACATCCTTAGGTCACATACGACTGTTCGTTTCCCAGGTTCAAACTCAGTAATCGATTTTGATTTGACTTCATCTCCTTCTGTACCATCCCCTCCTCCTTTGATTGTGGAACGTTTGCCATGTGAATTGGATATTTCAAAATCTCAAGAACAGCATTCGATTTGTTCACCTACTCTAAATAATCCTAATCTAACACGTCCGATATTTTTAAAACGTGGAGCATCTGATGGTGCAGAACAAAACTCTGAAGATATAATTGGCCTAGATATTAACAGGGATTATAATCCACCATCAACAATGAAACGGTAAGCCACATTGTGAGTATTATTTAATCCACCACTTGGGAATATGTTTAGCATGCACCACTATGAATCCTAAAAACTAGTAGAATAGATCGCTGTTTTTTGTTTGATATAATTATTTATTCAATATGTCAATTTTAATACTCACCACTTTTGCATTTCAATAAACCTTTCATTTCGTTTTTAACTTTTTCTAAATTCAGCAGTCACTATTGGGATCTTACCAACGAAGAATATTCACCCAAAAAAAGTCGTGTTCAGTTATTATTACCAAGTGAATGTAGCGCATTTCTCCCAGTAAAATCAACTCGTCAATTGGATCATAAACATATACACTGTATTTCTCCACCTTATTTACGATAGAGACCCAAGTTAAATCAGTACTTAAAGTACAAATTGTATACTAAAAACTTAGTCTTTCATATATATATATATATATATATATATATATATATATATATATACTGTACATTTTAACAGACCATTGATTTTTTGTTGACATTTTTGTTATTTCCGTGGCTGTTAGTGGTTTTGTTATTTTGCCATGTACATACGTACTGGTCTAGTTCTCTATTTATTGACTCATTTTCTTTATTTTCTCCCAATACTTCCGTTTATTTGTCGTTTCTATTTCGCTTAACCCTCTTGCCCTTAAATATTATTCAATAACATTACGATCACAACTATGGTTTTTATTTTCTATTGTTTCTCTTTGTGTTCATCGTGATTTATTCTTGAACAAAGAAAGTGAAAAGGAAAAAGGTAAAATCTCTAATCCCCTTAATTTGCTTTGTGTGTTTCCTTTTTGTATAGCTTTTGTATGTTAGTTTCTTTTTGTTCATTGTTAAAGTTTGTTTACTGTATTTGGCTTTTTTCTTTTTTTGGATATTTTGTTATACTAAATTTATTGTACTAATTATTGTACTGATTCGAGTTCTGTCTGGCAGTTGTTTTTTCGATTAACATTTTTTAACCATTAAAACGGTTAGGAATGGCAAAATACAAATGCTCTTACGTAAGAAGCTCTTTTTTGTTAGTTTCCAGATAATTTTCCATGTTTAATGTATATATAGGGAGAACTGATTTCTGATGATGCTTGGCGGATCCAGATATCAATCAAAAAAGGGATCATGATGTCCCGATCCTATTATTAATCATTGGTTTAGCATTGCTTGCCCTAAATGATATGCATTCAAACACTTGTTCGATGAAATAACGAAATTTATGTCATAAACACTGTTTTATGAAAAAAAGATGATATAGGCAGAAGTTGTAATGTTAAACATCCTCATCATATGAAAAGATAACTGTCTGCTGTCTACGGCAAATGGTAAGGAAATATAGATGTACTAGTATAGGGGTTGTGGAGATTATTATGTTTTTGATTGAGATCATGAACCGGATTGATGTTAGACCATCACAATTGAAAACCTGGAAGCACTGGACGGCCGTTTCATCCTATTGTGGGACTCCTCCGCAGTGCGCATCCATGACCCCGCGAGCGGGATTCGAACCCAGGGCCTTCGGTCTCGCGCGCGAACGCTTAACCAACTGGACCACTGAGCCGGCATCCAATTGTGATGGTCTAACATCAATCGGTTCATGATATCAATCGAAAATATAGATGTGTTCAGTGAAAGAAATTAAAACTGTAACCGGCTGCATTTATTGAGTTGCTATCTTAAGTTATCTAAAAGACAGTAATTTGAAATCCCCAGTTTTCAGAATTTTTAATGCTCTTAACAGATAATGTATTCGTCGAATGGCTTGATGGATAAATTCTCAAAACGTTTGGACATTTGTACGAATTTTCACCATATTTTATCACTTATGTTAAGAAGAAATGACAAAAATAGTGATACCGGGTTACCGCGCCCTACTGTCTAAAGCATAATTTTTCTACCATGTCGTTCATACAAGAGTAGTTAGATTAGATCCAAACATCTAACCCAATAAAACAGACCGGGATGTTTGAGTTGTAGATTGACAACCTGATATCTTTTCGCTATTGCAGTTGGTTGTTGATTTTTTTTACCAAGTTCGATTTTCCTCGCGATTGGCGGTTCGAATATCACTCAGTCTAGTTTCGTAGATTTTATTTTTGTACACCGGTAACATATTTGAATAAGTCATTTATTTCATTTATCTTAAAACTGATCACTGCTGTTTACAGACTGAGGTCAAGCGTACGACTCCATATGCAAGTTTAAATAAATGGTGAATTACTAGATATGGTTGTGTTGGGATGAAAGTTTACAGTCAATGAAGTTCCAGAAATAATTCGATCGTAATATTAATTAAAGTAATTTATGTCGATTTTAAAGTGTTTTTCTCTCATATAATAATTGCAGAATGATCTTATACAGTTTGATGAACTCAGGATTCTCATTACGCTCTGATATCAACGATGAAATAAAATCGAAATACTTTGGAAATATTTAAGATACAGAGCAGCTAAGAAAAGAGTAGTTTTTTCAATGTTTAATTATGAAATTATTTAGAACTTTTATTGTGTGAAAAATGTTTGTTGAGGAGTAATCATTATTATATGAATCGGTATCTATTCACTCGGTTGATTAAATCTAAAGAATCTTTCCAACGAATATAATTTAAATAGTACAAAGTTGTTGTTGTGCCGTCAGTCAAATGAAATAATTTATCCAAACATTTTACAAAGAATTTTATATTCATTACAAGTGACCGGCTTGAATAATGTAATCGAAAACTTCTTAAATCTTATGATAAAATTAAAGAAAAAGAGTTAAAATTATCATTTATTATAATTGATTTGAAATAATCAAATAAAGTTAACATCTCTGAAAAGTATGAATCACAAGTGATCTAATGATTACAAGAAAGTTTTCTCAAGTGGACGAGTACCTATTTACAATTCAAGGTAAATCGGATAATGTAACAAGAAATGATTTTTCTTACTTTTCTATATAATTATCTTATTGGTTATTTATGTTAATATTTTGTTTAGTTAAAAATAATTATACTGTTCGAAACAACATACTGTCTGTTAACGGATTTAAGAAATTTGTGTCAAGTTAAATTGTTCATTATGAGAATATCCACAATTTTTAGTTATACAAAAGTAAAAATGTTCAAATATAAAGTGAATGGTACAACTGATCTAATTTGTTAGGCACATAACGTTTGATTACTTTATAGATATACATACTAGAAAAAATCTAGATAATTGATTCTTAATTCTACAAATTTTGGCATTCATTATTTCTAAAACATTACAATTTTGTTAGAATATTATAACTAACTCTAAATAATTGACAGTGATATACTTTCTTTATGCTTTATTCTTTGAATGATTGACTTGATAAAGCATTGAGTAGAATATAGTCAATTATAATAAAATATGTCCATAATACAACGAGTTGAAGAAATTCAAGAATATTGATGGTAATAATTACAGTTTCAGTATGACTAAAGTGAGCAACAAAACAGGTAAGTAAAAACACTTTGAAAAGTTACTGAACAGACCAACCTTATGAAACCCACCGGATATCGAAGCAGTATTCACCGACCTTCTAAATATGCCACCTTACTAAAAGCAAAGAAATCGGCAGGGACATCATATAGATAACTCATGGCATAGCATAACAACCAGATAGCATGTTAACCAAGACATTGAAGTCAAATATCGAAATAACTAAACATGCTCCACGTTCTATTCAGGAAGATTTGGGAGGAAGAACAAGTGCCAACTAACTATAAAGAAGGTTAACTCATCAAGATACCAAGGAAAGGAGATCTGAGCAAATGTGAGAACTGCAAAGGCATAAAACTGTTGTCAGTACCAGGAAAGGTTTTCAACGGAGCATTTCTGAACCAGATGAGAGATTTAGTGGACGCCCAAGTTCGATATCGACAAGCTGAGCTTTGTAAGGATCAGTTGTGTATAGACCAAATAGCGACGCTACAGATCATAATTAAGCAGTTAATTAAATGGAAGTCGCCACTACACATCAAATTCTTTAAGTATGAAAAGGTGTTTGACAGTGTGGATAGGAGAATATTAAGGAATCTTACTCGACACTATGGAGTGAGTAGCTAAGAAAATCACCAGAACTTCATATGACGAACTACACTGCAAAGTCGTGCATGGAGAACATTTGAATGACGCATTTCAAGTGAAGACCGGAGTCCGACAAGTCTTCTTACTCACCCTCTTTCTCTTTCTTCGGGTGGTTGACTGTATTATGAAGACTTTGACATGTGACTGGAAGCACGGAATACAATGGACAGGTTAGATGCAACTTGAAGATTTGGACTTCGAGTATGACTTGGCCCTTCCATTCCATACACACGAACAAATGTAGGTCAATACAAATAGAGTAGCAGAAGCCACGGCATCAGAAAGCCTCAACATACACGGGAAAGAGCAAGATTCTCGAATACAGCACAGAGAATACCAATGCAATAACACTTGATGGAAAATCTTTGGAAGATGTGGAAACTTTCATGTATCTGGACAGCATCATCGATGAACATGGAGAATCTTATGTAGACATAAAGGCAAAGATTGGCAAAGCAAAGACGGCACTCCTACTGTTGAAGAACATATGGATCTTAAAATAACTGTCAACCATTATCAAAGTCAGAAACTTCAATACAAACGTCAAGACAGTTCTGTACAAAGCTGAAACTTAGAGAACCACCACAACCATCATCAAAAATGGTACAAGTATTTATAGACCATTTTCTACGTAAGATACTGAATGTCCGTTGACCGGATACCATCTGATACAGCCTACTATGGGAGAGAACAAACCAGCTTTCAGATGAGGAGGAAATTAGGGAAAGATGTTGAAGGTGGATAGGACACACATTGAGAAAATCACAGCTGCATTAAGTAGCAAGCCCTAACTTGGAATCCTGAAGGGAAATAAAAAAAGAGGAAGGCCAAAGAAAACATTGTATTGGGAATTGGAGACAGACATCAAAAGTATGGATAGCAACTGGAAAAGATTGCCCAGAATAGAGTTGAATAAAGAATGCTGGTGGGCGGCCTATGTTTCATCATGAAAGGGTAGGTAACGGGTGTAAGTAAGGTTTGTAAATGTAACGTATAAACTGAGATATGTTTTGTAGTTGACGCTTCTGACTGACCTCAACTACCAGGGGCCGCTTAACCCCTATTTCGTTTCAATATGGTCTCCTCAGCAACATTTATGTGTAACCCTACCAGGAATCAAACCCTGGATCTGCTATTCTCAAAAGAGTGCTCAACTTTCAAACTTCTGAATTGACATCCAGTGAATTATGTTTTTAAATCCAGTCAATTTACAATTTTTTACGATCAACTTTGCCATAAACCTGACTTGGATGAACTCTTCTGATCCACTGTTGTGGAATAGATATAGACAAACTCTAGTTTATTCAACATTTTAAAGGATGTTAATATCTCTGGTTTACACATCAATTGTTGGTGAGATACTTCACT